CCCGAACCGACACTTGACCCGTCCAAGATTTTGGCGCATCGTGTTCGGCTCGATGCTTCTGGATGCCGCGTGGATTTTCTAATCCGCTGGACTGACCGCACCAGTGAGGACGACACTTGGGTGCCATCCGCCTCGCTTGAAGCTTCTCCGAATCTTGGTGATTACCTCGCCCGTAAGCGAGCTGCGGATATTGACCACCTTTCTTAAAGGGGGGGGTAGTGTAAGGAAAAACCCTTTTCCTTACAGGGGTTTACTCAACCGCGTACAACCCCAACTTTCGGAAGTGCACGTCCGGCCGCTTTGCTTGCTGCCGAAGCAACCTCGCGTCGCCTTCGGCCTTTCCTTTGCCCAACCTGCACCCAACCTCGTGTTCCCGAGGTTCCCGCCTAGCTAGGTTGGCCCACTATATTAGCGCGCGCCTTCATTGTATTGTCAGTTCATTGAGTCACATCTTCGTTATTCGTTATTCCGCGCACTCTCTTTCACAACTCATAAGAACACTTATGGAAGTGTTGCCCTCAGATCAGTCTTTTTTCCGGAGCATCACGGGTACGCGGGCAGGAAATAAACATTCCAACAGAAAAGCAATCTGGGAGCGGTTTAGGACTCGGTTCTCTCAACAGCCCCGGCCCCAAACCAAACGTGAACGTAAACGTGGTAATAGTGTATTATTTTGTATTTTTTTTTTTCCCGCTGCCGTCCGTTAATTTTCCGTGCCATTCTGTCATCACCTTGATTCTTGCGGTGTCGTTCGATACCTCAGTCATAGCTCAGTTGTCCCTCCTACCCGGCTATTACTCGCCTTGCAACAGTGTGACTTATGCCTCACAGCTCACCCGTCCCTCCTTCCAGACGTTCCGTCCTCTAATTAACGGTCGACTCGGCCGGTGAAGACCTGTACAGCAGCAGGAGATATGTTGGATATTAGGGTTGTCACGAGCAAGGAGCGATGTGTTTACACTATCAAGTAACCCTTTTCCACCCCGCACGAGCAGGGCAAACTTTACTATGTATTGTTTGTAAACATGCACGCTAGGCTGATTGTCGGAGACCGCTACGCCATCGTCACTTCTCACCATTCCGCGTGATCGAGACATAGCTCCTTAGTCAGCGACAGTTTTTTCTATTAGTCGTCAAGCTTCTTAGTCCATGAAGGCCCGTGGACGCTCTTCTGCCGCGTAGTGGCGTCAAGTACCAGCAGATACGAAGCGCGTCGCCGTCTCGTTACCACACGCTGGGAGTTTGTCGCAGTAATTAGGGTTCGCCAGTCCCTCGTTACAGTTACACAATATCAGTAATCTTTGCAAAGGATAGTTTTGTCTCAGAATCTACGATCTCTCGCCGAAGGGACTTTCACTAAGCGCTCGTCACACATCTACCTTTCTGTTGTTCTCATATTGTTCGTCACGCCCTGACAATTCAATCGGCCAGACAGTAGAACCCGTGTTGCATCCTCTCTGATGGAATGCCGGTCGCGGTCATCTTTGAGACATCTTGATCAACAGCATCGACGGCATCAACGGCATCAACAGCATCAACAGCATCAACGACATCAACGGCATCAACGGCATCAACGGCATCTAAAGCATCAACGGCATCAACGGAATCAACGGCATCAACGGAATCAACGGCATCAACGGCATCAACGGCATCAGCATCGTCAACATTGTTTAGAGAGTCAATCGCGACCGGCTTTTTCAACAACCCTCCCACTCTCGCGCCCTCCTCTGCATCTGCTACAGCTAATAACCGTTAGATGCTTGCCACGTTCATTCAAGAATCCGTTGTGCATCCCTCGCCAGCGTAGCTTCGGAATCCTATTGGCGACGCTCATGCTCGCAGCTTCGGTGCCGTCTCGCCTGCCAGCCGGCACTGGTGGCGGCGGCGGCGGCGTTAACGCGCAGGCCATAGCTCCATCGCAAGGTAAGGGCAGATTCGCAAAGTTCGTAGCGCTGGTGTGAACCGTGACTGCCTAGTATCAACCAGAGAGCAAGCTTTTCATGCCGCCACTCCACTCTCGCCTAGTGTCAAACCCTAGAAGGTCTATGCTCTCGCCAGGCTCTGGGATTGCCCGCTCGCGACAGACCCTAGGGCTTCGCAGTTTGCGTGAGGCTACAAGAATTCTATTCGCGTGAGATCACATAGATTCTGGCTAGCTTCCAACGCGGTGAAAGCTACCTGGACCCGTCTGGTTGAAACGTCCCCCCAAGGCTGTCCCGAGTCAGCTGATGACATGGAAGATCAATGGTGGATTGATGCGCGTTGAAATAGTTGTTTAGTGCATATGTGCGCTCACAGCCTCGGTAGATGTAGAACTTGGGTAGTGCATACGATAATGTACTCATGTAATTGGTTGCGTTGACTGGATGTGTGTGACTGGGCGGTTGTGCGGCTCATTGTGCGACTGAACCAAATGTGCTCGGGAATGTGTGTGTGTGTGTGTGTGTGTGTGTGTGTGTGTGTGTGTGTGTGTGTGTGTGTGTGTGTGTGTGTGTGTGCACGTTTGCGTGCGTGCGGGCGTGCGTTCGTGCGCGCAGTGACAGTCTTGACGGAGTTTGAGCGGCAGTGGGGCACAACGTTTGATGGATGGGGGCACCATGATGATGATTGTGCAGAGGCGCATGGCCTCACATGCGATGTCGACGGCATGATCACTTCCATGTAAGGCCCAGCCCACCCACACAGGCCCATCCACACATGCCATGCTGTATTTTTCTTGCCTCAACTGTTTCCCTCTCCCCATTCCCGCCTCACCCCATCCCACCTTTCCCAGGCCCTCCTCTCGCAACCCCCCTATTCTCCGTTCCCTCCCTTCCGTCACTCTTTTTCTGACCTGTTTTCTCTCTCATCTCATCCTTCATGCCTACCACTCCTCATTCCCAAGCATGCCATGACCGCGTCTCGTCCTCGTCTCTCACGCTGTACTTGTCTCGCCGACAGTCTCCTGTGTGCTATTTGCCATGGTGTATCATCGTGCCATACCATGCCTGCCCCCCATGCACATGCATGTGCTGCCATGGCAGGAGAGTGGCGTCCCAAGGTCACCCTCTGGGCTCTATACCAGTGACTATTGGCAACCTAACACAACTCACACACCTGTCAGTTTACTTGCTTCAAACAGGGGTTCTTGAAATTGCTTTCATGGATGCCATTCTTCTCCTTTCTATGCGGTTGAGTGAACGGATGTATGAAATGTGCTAAGTGCGCCAGAATTGCTCTTGAGGTTGCATCCATTCGTTCGGAATCTGTCTCGGCCATGCATATCAATCGTTACCCACCTTTCCTTACCCAGCCTTCCGTTCTTCCTCTCACATCATTCTTATATGCGCGTTTCATCGGTCCTCCTCTTGCGCAAGCTTGCGGTTTTCCTCAAAGCTCTCATTCAGTCAACTCGATTGCAATGCTCCATTCAATTCTTCACCCTGCTCATCCCCATGCTGTGTTCTGTGTGTGTGTGTGTGTGTGTGTGTGTGTGTGTGTGTGTGTGTGTGTGTGTGTGTGTGTGTGTGTGTGTGCGCGTGTGTGTGTGTGTGCGCGTGCAGATCTATCACCTACTGTGAGCTGGCAGGCTCCATCCCCCCAATTCTTGGCTCTCTAACACTCCTTGATGCACTGTACGACTAAAACCTGATCGTCCATCCATTCATCCATCCATCCGTCCGTCCATCCGTCCATCCGTCCGTCCGTAAACTTCACCTCAGCTTGGACTAGCCACATGACATCCTCTGCCTGCAAATTCATTCATTCATGTGTGTGTGTGTGTGTGTGTGTGTGTGTGTGTGTGTGTGTGTGTGTGTGTGTGTGTGTGTGTGTGTGTGTGGAAGCAGTGATTTGAGCAGCAATAACCTATCAGGGAGAATACCTAATTCCCTGCAACAGCTTGACAGACTGCGTACCCTGTGAGCGACTCTGCACCCTGTGAGCGACTCTGCACCCTGTGAGCGACTCTGCACCCTGTGAGCGACTCTGCACCCTGTGAGCGACTCTGCACCCTGTGAGCGACTCTGCACCCTGTGAGCGACTTTGCACGCTGCAATCGTCTGCGTTCTACACGTCTCCTCCGTATTGACTGAGCACTTGCATGTCAAGTATACTCTCAGAACCCCTTGCACACGCCATGTCATGTCATGCCATGCCATGCATGGGAGTGATGACCCCAAAGCTAATCCGACTTGCTAATTCACATGGATTCGCTCCTGTGCATGTGTGGCATGGAATGACATTGGGGGTAATGCCATGGAATGACATTTCAAGGTATGGGGTGACGTGGGATGGAACATTGAATGACTTGGCATGGCATGGTATGGGATGGTATGCGATGGTATGGGATGGTGTCGGATGGTGTGGAATGACATGGTGGCGCTGTATACACATGGCAATGGCATCAGCAATCTGAGCAGCAACCAGTTGAGTGGACCCATCCCATTGCATCTACTACAACGCCTCACTGACCTCACACTACTGTGAGTCGCACGCAGACCCCTTTCAGCTCCGACCTGTAACCTCTCTCTCTTCTTCCTACTTATCCGTTTCCCTCTCTCTTGTATTTCCTCTCTCTCATCCGCCCTTGTATTTGTTAGAATGAAGGTACAGCACTATGGGTATGCATGGCAGCAAATGACAGGGAGAAATGGAGGGAATGGGAACAGGGTAGAGCATAGAGGCATATGCTTCATGGGTGGGGTATGTATGAGGTGGGGTGTTGGTGCTCTCCGCGTTTCCTATATCAAACCATGGCATCGTATGATTGCATGGCATGGCATGGCACTGCACTGCATTGCATGGCATGGCATTGCATGGCATGGCATGACGTGTCATGTGGTATGGCATGGCATGGTGGTGCATAACATGTCTGATACAGGGACCTGTCGCACAATCAGTTGTCAGGATCCGTGCCATCGTATCTCGCCTCTCTCTCCAGGCTCAAGTTCCTGTATGTATGCTTGCTCCATTGGTACGACTTTTGAGAATTCTCAAGAGTCGCACCAGTTCCTGTATGTATGCTTGCTCCATCACCATCATTCATTCCCTCCCCTCACCGTTCCTCCCCCCTCCTCACCCTCCCCCTCACCCTCCCCCTCCCCACTCCCCCACGAAATTTCCCCCCCCGCTACTCCCCTTTCCTCTTCCCTGCTCCCCCTCCTGCTGCAACTCCGCCTCGTGCCGTTCCTCCCCATGCCCCTGGTCCGTCTATCATATCTTACTCCCCTCATTCTTCCCCTTGTCACTCCGTTCACCATGTCACCACTCATCTGCTCCTGTCGCTCTCCGTGCCACATCCGATTCCCCTGATGCATCAGTACCTGTGGCTAGTGCTCTACAGCCATGATGCGAATGGCAGATTCAATTCACTGTCCCACCCACCTCATCCCTCTCTTCCTCCTACCTATTTCCCTGTGTCTCTCCGATTCGCAACTCAAATCCTTCCCGTTTCTTTCTTCTCCCATCACAAACAACGCCTTCTCTCCCCTGTTCTCCCTCCCTCGCACCACCCCTCAACCCCCCTGCGCCCCATCGCTGTGCCCTTCTCCCAGGAATATCTCAGACACACGCATCTCCTGTCCTCCCGCCTCCTCCTCCTGCCTAACACGCCCTCCTCGCTCCTCCGCCTTTTGCCGCCTCTGCTCGACCTTCTGCTCCTCCTGCCGCCCTCCTCCTGCACCCTCCCCTCTTCCAAACCCCCTACCATCACCGGCACCATCACCATCACCATCACCAGCACCAGCACCATCACCAGCACCATCACCATCACCATCACCAGCACCATCACCAGCACCAGCACCATCACCATCACCAGCACCATCACCAGCACCATCACCAGCACCATCACCAGCACCATCACCAACACCAACACCAGCACCAGCTTCAGGGCCATCCCCACAGCCCCAGCCCCAGCCGTTTCCCCAGCCCCAGCCGCAGCCCCAGCCCCAGCCAGCCCCAGCCCCAGCCCCAGCCCCAGCCCCAGCCCCAGCCCCAGCCCCAGCCCCAGCCCCAGCCCCAGCCCCAGCCCCAGCCCCAGCCCCAGCCCCAGCCCCAGCCACAGCCGCTCCCAAAACCCCCCATACCTGCAAACTCATCAGGGCACTCCCAGTCCTCCTCCTCCTCTTCCGCCTACCCCCTACCGCCCCCTCCCGGCCCGCCTGTGGCCCCGGAGGATCCTCTTCGGCAGTCGGGCGTGTCTAGTACTGGCATCGTGGCCATCGTGGGCGCTGTCGCTGCTGTCATGCTGCTCGCTGCTGTCGTGTGGTGGCGCTGGGGGGGGCAGAAGCAGCAACCTGCGCGCACCAGCAGTATGGACTTGGGTGGAAAGAAGGGAGGGAGTGGAGGGAGTGGTGGGGGGAGAGGGAGAGGGAGGTTGGGGGAGGAGAAGGAGGGGTGACGGGATGTAGTTGGTGAGGTTAGGAGGAGGGATGAGGATGGGTAGAGCATGTTACTGTAAGGATCATTATCCTCATCCCAGTAGAAGGACGCGAATGGGAAGGAGTGTTTGATTGGACCACATCTTTAGCCTCTTGCACTTTCATTATCGTTCGCTCCCCCACCTCAATTGTGTTCCTTGCTTCCTCCCTCGCACTTCCGCCTCCCAACACCTGCCCCATCCAGCTCTCCCCACCTCCACCCCATCTTTCGTCCCCCCTCCGTCCTATACCCTCTCTCCCTCCCTCCTCCGCACTCCTCTCCTATCCTCTCTCCTCACTCTCCCCCACCCCACTCCTTCACCACATGGCAGGCTCATCAAGTCTATCCCGCTCGGCCAAGAGGCGTGTGATACCAACGAGAGAGTTCTCCCCAGACGAGCTGTGCCGGGCCACATGCAACTGGTCGGGGGACAGCCTGATAGGCTCGGGGGCCTTCCACGATGTGTACCGCGGGGTGTCCCCGCACGACGGCACCACGCTGTGGGCTGTCAAGCGCGCCAAAGTGCTCAGCAACGACTATCAAAGAGAGGTGGGCTGGTGGGGAGCAGTGACACGGTTTTTGAGGCGCTGCAGAATTTGTTAGTTAGCAGAAGGAAGTGGGTTGGGGAGTTAGCAGAATTTGGTGCTGTGAACATGTGGGTGCTGGGCAGTGGTTTCACAGTGGTCAGCAGCAGCTTTCAGGGGGAGGAGGGCTAGCGAGCGAGCGAGCGGCAGTGCTTGTGCTGCTGTCGTTTGCTGCGGCAGCTTCTTCTCATGCTGTTGCTGCTATCACTTGTGCTCTTGCACATGACCATCAACTATCACTCACTCACCTTCCCGCCTCCCCTTCACATTCCGTCCTTCATTCCTCTACTCCACCCAAACCCCCACCCCTTTGCTCCCCCACCCTCTCCTCTCCCCTACCCCGCTCCTGTTGCAGATAGCTCAGATGTCCCCCAGGAGTCACCCGAACGTGGCGCGCCTGCTGGGGTACTGCAAGGCACCGCCGCTGGATGGATCGCCAGGCGCACGCATGGAGCAGATTCTCGTCTACGAGATGCTACCCAACGGTGGCCTGGACGAGTGGATTGGAGAATGTGAGTGCCTTGATTTGACCCAAGAGATGACAGTTGGCATGCCGCGTGCACGCATGGAGCAGATTCTCGTCTACGAGGTGCTGCCCAACGGTGGCCTGGATGACTGGATTGGAGAATGTGAGTGGCGCCAGCTTCTGGTTACCACTGCTTTTCTGCTGTTCGTCATCATCCCGTCCTCCCCTTTTTCCCTTCTTCCCACCTTGCCCTTTTCATGTTCCCCTCCCTCTCCCTTCCCCCTGCCCCCATTCTCCCCTTCCCCCGTGCCTCCCCTCCTCCCTCCACCCCTTCCCCCTTTCCCCCACCTCCTGCCGCTGCGTCTGTGCTCTGTTTCCACTTCGTCCTCCTCTCCCTTCCTCATGTTTTGGTGATGCATCTCCGTTTCGTTTCGTTGCCGCCTTGACCATGACCCCGATTCTCCCCCCCCCACCCTCGCACTGTTCTCCCCATCCACCCCTCCCCCGCCCTCTTCTCTCCACCCCCCCTCCCCCGCCCTCTTCTCCCCACCCCCCCTCCCCCGCCCTCTTCTCCTCCCCCCAGACTGTGCCACGCCCCTCACCCTGCTGCAGCGCCTGCACATCCTGCTAGGAGCAGCCAAGGGCCTGGCATATCTGCACAAGTTTGGCATCGTGCACCGCGACATCAAGCCCGCCAACATCCTGCTGGATAGAAACATGCAGGTGTGGCCCCGCAGCCTCCTTGTCACGCCTGTCATGCCTTGGGGATGCTTGACACATTAACAGCGTCCTCCCCCAACAACCCTTCCCCAACACATTCTCCAACACTAACTCCCCAGCACTCCTTTCTCAACGCTCCAAGGCTCAAAGTGTGCATCATCATCATGTGGGTTGATTCTCAGTTGGTGCTCTCTACATGCACCAGCTATCCATCCATGCCTCCTTGCCTCCATCAATCCATCCATTCCTCACCCTCACCACATGCATCACCTATTTCCCTGACTGCTGACATCCCTCCACGTCTTCCACATGCCTGCCCCGTGTACCATGGCTGCAGGCCAAGGTGGCGAATCTGGGCATGGTGAGGGTGGGTGAGAGCAGCGTGGTGAGCTTCACGGACCCCTGCTATGCGCAGACCATGCAGGCGAGCACTGCGTGCGATGTCTACAGCTTTGGCGCCATCATTCTCGCCACCGTTGCCAGCCATGCTGCCCTGCTGGAGGATGAATTCCAGACTGACACTCTGCAAGCGGTCAGTCAGTCTGTGATGCTGCTTTTCGGCTTTCTCATCAGCCGCATGGGCTGTGCAGCACCAAGCTTTGGGCCTGACTTACTGTTCAGAACTGCATAGCACCGCACAGAACCTGTGGTGGATGTCATGCAACATGGCGTCTGTCTGCCATTCCCCTCGCTCTGTGCATACTCTTAATCTCGCTCGATTTTTCCAACTGCTGTTGCATGTTCCAGGTGACCAACTGTCTATCCAGTGGCGATGTGGCAAGTTTGAAGGACCCGCGCATGGATGCACCAGATGACATGTTCGCTCACATCATCCAGCTCGCTCTCAGCTGCTGCCTTGCCAATGCCTCGCTTCGCCCTGCCATGCCTCTGGTTGTGAAAGAGCTGAAGGACCTGCGAGGGGAGTTGCTGGGCACAGGGAGTGTTAATGGGAGCATGAATTCGGACATTCAGCAAAGATTAGGTGGGATACAGCGGCATGAGGGTAGGGGCAAGGCGGTAACGCTTAGGATTTGTGATGAAGATGGGTTGATCACAATTGAGCATGCAAGGCCTGAGGCATGTTGAGCCGTTTTTCCTGTGCAGGTGCTTTCTTGCTTGTATTCATTGCCTTTGCAGACGTGTTTATATAGTATTTATATTTTAATATCATGTGCTTGCTAACCTGAGGTAAGAAGAATTGTGGTGGGTAGGAAGGAGATAAGCCGTACACAGGCTTGGCACTTTTTCTCCCACAGGTGATTGATTGTTGATAACAAAATGAAAAACTATGAGCTGGTCGGGCTGGAGACCAATTGTAACATAGGTGCATCATCATCACATATTGGCCCAAGCCGCCATTCGCGTTACAGTCTACCATGACAAACGTAGCCGCCCAAACCGAAAAGCAGATTTGTAAAAGTTGAACCAGTGGGTACTGTAGTTGTGCACTACTGTACCCACGCTCGCCTACAGTTGCAGGTGGCACGTACGAGAGTGTCCAGGTCGTACATGCTTCGTGGCTCAGAACGGTACCACACGGTTGAAAGCGTTGTCCCACATGGCTCTTTACATTTACCGTTTCACACCGTGACGCAACGAATTAGAGCGCGGAGAACTTAGGGCGCGTCCAAAGAGTCGTCCAAATGGGTTTTAAAACGGTTTGGGTTTTACCCAGAGCGGTCTAATTAGAAATCCAGATGGTTGGGTAGGGTTTTCTGCGAATACGTACATTGTTGGATCCGCCCTTACAGAAGAGATGAAAGTTTACCTGGCCACGCCCCCTAGGATTTACCAGCAGCAGTATCTCCTTGCAGTTGCCATTCTTCGCAATCCGTCGTGCTGTTTCGATTTGCATGTCATTAGTATCTTAGTCATGAGCTGTAGTGACGTCAGATCGGCATGAGCCTATCACAGCAAAAATCGTTGCTCTAGCATTTTAGGGCAACAGTATCTAGACTCCGACGTCTGATGGGAACACCGCATCCATTCTTCGTCAGAATGGCCACAAAGCCTAATAATTGCCACCGGTACAATATAAAAAAATATTGTTACAGTCACGGAAGTTGCGACCTCTCGTGGCCTGACAGTAGGTGGCATCTAGTCGTGACGGTGTGCCTGTTAGTCTCTTCAGGTTTCCCACGTGCTGTGATTGCGCAGACGATAGAACCGTCCCAAGGTAGCACCTTTTCCTCATCCCTTCAAATTTCCTGCCTCTCCCCTCATGCCATTCCCCCTTCCCCATTCCCCACATGCCACTTTTGGACTGCCTTTCTCCTCCTCGCATCGAAATGTACCGTTGATAGCACCTGCGCAAGGCCTTTCCCCCACGTCTCCGCTACTATCCCCGCATTCCTCCTTTGCGCTCCCCGCACGCCTGTTCCACCGTCTAACCCGCCGTTGTGCTCCGCCGTTCCTGGGCAGCGGCGGTGCTGGCGGAGTGTCAGCGGCAGTGGGGCGCAACGTTCCCCGGATGGACGGCGGGGGGAAAGTGCGCGGACGCATTTGCCTTGGTGTGCGACTCGGATGGCATGATCGTGAAAATGTGAGGCCGTGGAATGCGATGCGTCATGCCATGCCACTCCATGCCACGCCGTGCCACGCCATGCCTCGCCATGCCACGCCATGCCGTGCCGTGCCGTGCTGTTCCCTGCCACTATGCCATGCCATGCCATGCCATATCACGCCACGCCAAAGCATGCCAATTCTCTTTCTCCGTTGCCCACGACCTCCCACTTCCCTTCCCGGTGTGTGCGGGCGAGCAGGGAGGTGGAGAAATATGGCACCGATGGGGCGTCACTGGGATCCATTCCCCATGTCCTCAGCAACCTCTCTCGCCTCTCAGTGCTGTGAGCGCGGGATGGGGGAGGGCGAGAGGGATGGAGGGAGGGATGGAGGGAGGGAGAGAGGGAGGGAGGGAGGGAGGAGAGAGGGGGGGAGGAAGGGAGGGAGGGAGGAAAACGGCGGAGAGCGACGCAGAGAGAAGCAGAACCAGGGAAGTAGGGGAAGCAGGGGAAGTAGGAGAGGTGATGTGGCGTTGGCGTTGTTGGTGTTTCTTTTGCATGCCACTAACTTACAGGTTTATCCTGATGCACACGCTGCCGGTGCCATTGCCGTTGGCATTGGTCATTGCCTTGCCATTGCCATGTGTGCATGTGTGGCAGGTCACTGTCTTTGAATGCCATGACCGGCCCTATCCCTCCATCACTCGCCAACCTCCCAAAACTCAACGCCCTGTGCGTGCCCTTCTCTTGAGAAATGCCTCCCCCTCTCACTCACATGTCCCCTCACTTTGTGCCGCCACGGTAACACACCCGCACTGGTCAACCATACGTGCATGCTATTGACAGTGACCATTCTATTCTACCTGTCTTCTGCTCGTTCTTGCATGAGAAACCCCTGATCCTGTCTGCATGTTTCCTCGCTCGGTTTTTATGTTGTTATGTTGTGTTGCATATGCCATCCGTCCATGTGCCATCTGCCCATGCTGCCCACGTGTTATGTGCCATGTGCCATCCGCCCATGTGTTATGTGCAATGTGCCATGTGCAGGAGCCTCTACAGCAACAACCTCACAGGCAGCATACCTTCGACATTCAGCCGACTCAAGCTGCTCGTTTACATGTTCGTCCCATCCTCCGACCTCCCTACAATCATCTCCTGCTGCTCCTTCGTTTGCTTCCCTCTTTCCGTCGATCATCGACAGCTGCATGTCTCATGCTGCACGCCGCATTCCACATGTCGCATGCCCCACCCCACATGCCACATGCCACCACGTCCCACATGGCCCATGTCACATTCCACATACCACATAGCACATGCCACATGCTACATGCCACATGCCACATTCACCATGCCACATCCCCCATGCCACATCGACCATGCCACATCCCCCATGCCACATCGACCATGCCACATCCCCCATGCCACATCGACCATGCCACATCCCCCAGTGCCTCTTGAGGCGACCTCAAACCTTGGTGCTTCTTGCCTCCTCATAACTCGCGTTCTCTCGTCCACCGCTCCCTTCCCCATGCCTCTCTCTGCCTTCAGGTCAGAGAGCACTCCAAGAGCCAGCAGTCAGGAGGGCTGTTGAGGCGCCTCAAAATTCCTCTCATTCACTGCTCTACCCCGCATGCGCCTGTCTGTCCGTCCGTCCGTCCGTCCGTCCGTCCGTCCGTCCGTCTGTCTGCCTGTCTGCCCGCAGGGACCTATCCAACAACCTGCTGTCAGGGCGCATTCCATCGCAGCTGTCCAGTCTTGTCCGCCTCACCCACCTGTAAGGCGCTGGGACAGCAGAATCAGGTCGTCCAGAGACCTTGTACAAGGGCACTGCAAGGCATGAGAATCAGCGAGGAGACAAAGGAGCTGTCAACAACCCCTTGTTGGGGGGTCGGGGGGCGAATGTAGTCACTAGGTGCGCAACACTCATATCATATTGACTGGCTGTTCCAACGCACCAATGGGATTGGGCCCTGGCTAACTCCCTTCTCCTCTTGCTGCTGTGGTCCCACCCCCCCCCCCCCGCTTCTCATGCTGTGCTCCCACTCTTTCTCTCCCTCCTCCTCCTCCCCCTCTTATGATCTCCCATTGTCGCACTCGCCCATCCCGGCATGCAATGCAACGACCACCAGGGACATTGGATACAACTCCCTCACAGGCACCATCCCGGCATCCCTCGGCTCCCTCCTCACCCTGCAGTACCTGTCAGTCTCTGTGCCTGCCTGCCTGCTCTCGCTTACTAGCTTGCCTTGCTTTGCTTGCCACTATCCTTCCTTCCTTCCTTCCTTCCTTCCTTCCTTCCTTCCTTCCTTCCTTCCTTCCTTCCTTCCTTCCTTCCTTCCTTCCTTCCTTCCTTCCTTCCTTCCTTCCTTCCATATCTCGGCCTCCCTCCACTGCACTCTCAAGTCTCAATCATACAGTGCATGCACCGTGCGTGCCGAGAAAGAAGGATCGCAGCACTCAAGCTAACTAATCGAGGCGCCTAGAAAACTGCATAAAGCTGCTGCATCCATAGAGCTTGCACTCTTACCATCACAGCCCTCCTTTTTTCCACGCCCTGTCCCCCTCCCCTTCCTCCTCAACCCCTCCTCTCCTCCCCTTCGTCCCCTTCCTCCTGACGCTTCCCACCGTCCACTGCCCTACGCTGCCAGCTTTCTCAACGACAACCAGCTCATAGATTCGCTGCCTCCGTCTCTCAGTACCTTGTCCAAGCTTAAAGTGCTGTAACGTTCCCACTCCCCTCCCCTCTCCACTGTGGTCCATGTGCAATCACTCGGGTTTTGAGAATTCTCGCAACAACCAACCCAGCGCATCTGAAGTGCATGTGGAACCGAGAGGAAGCTTGTTGCTGCTGACACTGACTGCTCCATTCTCACTTCACCACCATTTCCTTGCTTCAGAGAAGGGGCTTACCTGCCTGCTTGTTTCCCCCCATTTCTCTGCTTGCCCGGAGATGACTCCCTTTACCTCTGCTCCCTGATCCGCATGCATCCTCTTTGCACCCCCATCCATGTATCCCCATGCATCCCCATGGCATGCATTCGCATGCTCGCATGCTGCGTGTGTCCGTGCCATGCCATGTTCTCGTTCTCGTTCTGGCCTCAGAGCCCTCCAGGACAACCACCTATCGGGCAGCATTCCCGAATCATTGGCTAACCTGAATCAACTCAGCGCCCTGTCAGTGCTCCCACCCCAAGCTTCTTGTTAGCCCATGCTTCTGGTCACCCCATGCTTCTGGTCACCCCATGCTTCTGGTCACCCCATGCTTCTGGTCACCCCATGCTTCTGGTCACCCCATGCTTCTGGTCACCCCATGCTTCTGGTCACCCCATGCTTCTGGTCACCCCATGCTTCTGGTCACCCCATGCTTCTGGTCACCCCATGCTTCTGGTCACCCCATGCTTCTGGTCACCCCATGCTTCTGGTCACCCCATGCTTCTGGTCACCCCATGCTTCTGGTCAGCCCGTCCTCCCCAGCCTTCCATCCTCTATCTCGTCCCGAGTGTCTTGCTGCCTATTCCATGACCGCTAATCTTCTCTTGTGCACGTGCATGTGCCCCTCCCTTGCTCCGCCCCTCCCTTGCTCCGCCCCTCCCTTGCTCCGCCCCTCCCTTGCTCCGCCCCTCCCTCGTACCCCCTTCTCACGAGCAGCCTTTTGTCCGGCAACACTCTGGAAGGCTCCATCCCCTCATCCTTTGGCCGCCTCTCCAGACTCACCTCACTGTGCGACAAACCTCTAGCCTTACGTGCATGTTCTTGCATGGTGTTGGGCATTATGTGCATGTGTGCGTGCATATGTGCATGTGTATATGAGTGGGCCTACTGTGTGCATGCATGGCTGTTGTTGAGTCTGCATGCACTGTTGAGTGGGATCAAACCAACCCACACGCCTTCATCAGGGGGGGTGTGCGTATGTGCGAGTGTCATGCATTCTCCCTCCTCCCGTCCGTTCTTCTCCTCCTCCTCCTCCCTATCTCCCTGGCGCTTCCTTCGTCCACCCTCCTTTTCTTCCCCCTCCATCCCTGCCCCCCCTCCCCCCTCCTCTCTCTCCCCTTCCCTTGGTATGTGCAGTGGACTGTCCGGCAACGAGTTGATTGGACCTATTCCCTCAAATCTGGCTTCTCTCACAGCTCTCAACTATTTGTACGGGAACCCTTTTGCCTGCTTTCGTTTTGAGGCGCCTCAAAACTAGATTTGTACGGGAACCCTTTCTCCTGCTTTCATCCACTCCCTTCTGCCCTCTCCCCTCCCCTGTTGTCTTTCCCCCTCACACCTGCCTCCGTTCGTACATCCATCTTCCCTCCCCTCCTTCCCATTGACGTTACGTGGATGAAACGTTTATCTTGAGACGTCTCAAAACAAGTACTTTATTACAAGGTTATCGTCCCTGCTTTCCCTCCCATTCAAGCCATGTGCGTGCTTATTGTCCAAGCCCCTCGCACTCACCATCACATCACGAAAGTTAGCTTCACATACCACATCTGGCACACCACACCATACCACACCACACCACACCACACCACACCACACCACACCACACCACACCATGACACTTCATACACCGTGACCTGCACTGTACCACCATCACGCATTGGTTTCCCTACCTTCTCACCGCCCATTTCATCCCCTTCCATGTTCTTCTCCTCGCCGCCACTCATGTCCGTTTCTCCTCGCCGCCACTCATTTCCGCCTCTCCTCACCGCCACTCATGTCCGTCTCTCCTCACCGCCACTCATGTCCGTCTCTCCTCACCGCTACTCATGTCCGTCTCTCCTCACCGCACACCAGGAGCTTGAGCAACAACGGGTTGTCTGACGGAGTGCCTACCTTCATCGGCAACCTCACCTCCCTCGTCTACCTGTGCGCCTCCTCTCCCTCACATGCCCCGGTGAGCGTGCCCATGCGCTTGCCCATGCGCTTGCCCATGCCCATGCCCATGCGCTTGCCCATGCCCATGCCATGCCCATGCCCATGCCCATGCGCTTGCCCATGCCCATGCCATGCCCATGCCCATGCCCATGCGCTTGCCCATGCCCATGCCATGCCCATGCCCATGCCCATGCCATGCCCATGCCCATGCCCATGCGCTTGCCCATGCCCATGCCCATGCCCATGCCCATGCGCTTGCCCATGCCCATGCCCATGCCCATGCCCATGCCCATGCCCATGCCCATGCCCATGCCATGCTCATGCCATGCTCATGCCATGCCCATGCCATGCCCATGCTCATGCATGCCAGGCCAGCAGTGCTTTTCAGCACCTTATTGCATGATCCTCTTTGGCGCCATGCTGCCATCGCCTTTCTCATCGGCCTGTGCTCTACCCAACCTCTCCCTGTCTTTTCACGCCTTCCTCTTTGTTCCTCTCGTATCCTGACGCCTTTTATGCGCCCTTGGTCCTGCTGTGCATGGTCATGCTGCGTGCTGCATGGTGCATGCTGCATGGTGCATGGTGCATGCTGCATGCTGCATGGCGCATGCTGCATGGTACATGTTTGTCCACTTGGAGCAGTTACCTGAGCAACAATCAGCTGCAAGGGTCGTTACCTCCCTCCATTTGGGCTCTTCCTGCTCTCATAGAGCTGTGCGTGCTGCAATCCATGCTACTATTGTACAAGTGTACAATCTTCCTTGTCTCATCATAACGTCCCTTCCTCTCATTGAACTGTTTCAGCATATCATTATTATGCCACCATTCCACCATGTTTCGTAGATCCCATAACCTCAAATCCCGCTTCTCTTTTATTTCCCTCCCTTAAGCTACATAATCAGCAGTAGTGTTGCCCAACTCCCTTGTCTTTCTTCCTCTTTTTTTTTTCTGCCTTCCTTCCAGTCTATTTTGTTTTTTACATTCTCCTGTCCCATCGCGCATCACTCATCATCATGTGCCCATCCATTCACCCCATGTGCATGCGCACACAGGGACCTATCCAACAACATGCTCACAGGCTCAATCCCATCATCAATCACTTCGCTTGATGGCCTCTCCTCCCTGTCAGTCCTCTGCACTGAACCAATGATTGCCATACCCTGCCATCCCTGCCATGCCATGCCACTGAACATGGGCACATTACTGAACCTAACCGAACCGGTTTAGAAATTCCTTCCCTTATTATTATTTTTCTTTCTTTCTATGTTTTCCTCAAACCGGTTCGGTACCGAACCAAACCACACTGCTTTTTGTTGCTTAAGTCTACATGCCATGCCACACCATCCATGCCATGCCATGCCATTCTACTGCCCGGCGTCTGGGTGACTTTTGAGTCGACGCAAAAGTCGCCATTCTACTGCCCGGCATCACAGGATGCCCACTTACTTGGCCACTGAGAACTCCTCCACCTTCCCATCCCCTCCCCTCGCATGCCCAACAGCAACTTAGCTGGGAACAGCATTACTGGCTCAATCCCCGATGCTCTCGGCAACCTCACCACTCTCATATTGCTGTCAGTCCATTCACATTGCCTCTCTCACCCCACACTGCAATGCCATCCTTTCCACATTGTCAACCTCACGTCTCTCCCGTTGCTGTCAGTCCAGCACTCACATTGCTTCACGCCTCGCACGTTGGGAATCTTGCCACACTCGGATTGTTGCGAGTATACACCATTCAACTGCGAAAATCTTCTTTGCATCTCGCCACACACCCCATGCATTACTCTAGGATACGTCCACCATCACATAGCATGATGTTCACACCCCAGCACATGGCACGCATGGCATGGCATGGCGTTTGCATGGCAACCCATGGCATGGTACGTCGCCACCTGTCACGGAACGGCACGGCATGGCTTAGGATGGCGTGGCATGGCATGGCATGGCATGGCAGGGACCTGAGCAACACGCTGCTAGGCAGTTCCATGCCAGCCTCCCTTGGCGGTCTTACCCAGCTCGTTTACCTGTGAGCACCTCCATCACCCCCATCACCTCCATCACCCCCATCACCTCCATCACCTCCATCACCATCCAGTCCATTTCAAGCACAGCTCCCACGAATGTTTTCCCCGTGAGCATGCTGCCTGCACTGCTCCCGGAAAGAGGCATTTTTGTACGGTCACTGCCCTTTCCCTGTCTGTGAGGGCCTCACACGGAGTGAGGCTTGAGATGTCTCAAAAGTCTTCCCTGTCTGTGAGGGCCTCGCCTCACAGTGAGTGAGGCTCATGTTGTTCTGTGGTGAAGGCTCTGGGCGGGTAGTGGATGTTGTACTGCCCTCATGGGACATGATAGGGCATGGTGGGGCTTGGTAGGGCATGGTGGGGCATGGTGGGGCATGGTGGGGCATGGTGGGGCATGGTGGGGCATGGTGGGGCATGCAGCCACATGACATGTGCTTCATGGATACATGCTAACACAGCACAGTTGCATATTCGCGCACCCTTCTCCTTTCCGTTCACCTTCCCCTCCTTGTCCTTTTTTTTTCTCCTTCTCGTACCTTTTGCCCTTATCCTTCTCCTTCTCCTTATCATCCCTCTCCTTATCCTTATCATCCCTCTCCGTATCCCTCTCCTCCTTCCTCTTCGCCTTCCCCTTCTCCTCCTCCGTGCCATCCACGCGCGCATGCCATCCAGGGAAGTGCAGCACAGCCAGCTCAAGGGTTCCCTCCCTGCCACGCTCGGGGCCATCACCTCTCTCACCACCCTGTAAGTCGCCTCTTTCCCTGTGCGTGCGTGTGTACCTTGTACAGACAGCCGTGAAAGCGAGATAACTAAGAGCGTCTGCCTGCCTGCCTGCCAGCACTGCTGGTGAGTTTTGTTGGGGGATGATGTGGTTTACGTGAAGGATATGAAGTATGTAGTATGTACGAGGATACGGCTTCTGGAAGGAAAGGATATGGTTTTCTAAAAAAATGTATGAATTCTAGATAGAGATGTTTTCCTTGCTGAGTGCAGTGCAGTGCAGTGCACTGCCTGCATGCACACTCCTCCCCCACTCTCTCGTTCCCAACTTCTCCCACTCGTCGCCATGTTAGATTGGATTCCACCGAAGGATCCTTCTTTGCATTACCCGAGGCACAGTGCATCTGACAACACTCGAACCCCCGCTTCCTCTTCCTTCCAAACCAATAACCTCCAACCAGCCCGCCCCTCTATCCCTCCTCACCCTCCAATCTCCCCCTGTTCCCGCCACACCCTGTTCCCGCTGCACCCTGTCTCGCCATGCCACCATCCTTCCCTGGGCGACCAGTGACATCAACGGCACGGGTCTCACGTGCCCGGCCCCTGGCACCAGCTGCATTCTGCCGCAGAACCGCTCCTCCGCTTTCTGTTCAGTGTGCCGAGCCTTCTGCTCCGCCTGTATCCCACCTTCTCCCTCGCCTCCGCCCTCTCCTCCCGGTGAGTTTCCCTTTTTTTTTTTTTTTTTTTTTTTTTTTTGCAAGGCGCTCGCTTCTAGGCAAGGGGTTTTTTATTGTTTGTTTGTTTGTTATTCCTGTAGTGAGTGTGCTAAGTTTCTCTAATCTCGCGCCTTGTATCTGTAATATATTCTCATGTGTCTTGTTAACCCTCCCTCTCTTTCCATCCCCTCCCTCCTTTCCCCCCTCCTCCCCTCCCTCCCCCTCTCCACATCCACCTGGCACACACCGCACCACGCACCTCTCCATCGTCCACCACACCCGCCAGCACCTCCCGTCGACTCCCCTCCTCCCGCCAGTCAGCCGGGCCTACCCACAGGCGCCATCATCGGCATTGCAGTGGCGGGGGGACTCCTGCTGCTTGCCCTTGCTGCTGCCGCTCTCTGGATCTGGCACACCCGGAATCGGGAAGAGCCTCACAAGCAACACAGTGAGATGCTCCTGTCCCAAGCTGCAACAAGATGCTTTGTTCCTGACTGCCCTAAAGCAACAGCAAATTACTGCAGTTGTATGCTGCATCATACCACTCAATATTCTCCTCCCAAAGATCCTTCCGTCCACCTGCCTCGACGCCTTGCACACACACACACACACACACACACACACACGCATCCACACACACACCTCGTACTCATCCTTCCACTCCATCAGCCTACACCATTCCCCTCAACTTCCGCCATCATCAACCCCCGCCTTCCCCCTCCTGCTCTTCTCCCACCGCGTCCCCTCTCTCCCTACCCTCCCCATCCCATGGTAACGAGGTGACGTTTGAGTTGAGTCGACTCAAAAGTCCTCTCCTGCTCTTCTCCATCACCTGCGTCCCGTTTTGAGGCGCCTCAAAACTAGACTTCTCCATCACCTGCGTCCCCTCTCTCCCTACCCTCCCCATCCCAGAGCAAGCATCCCCTCTAACCCGCAAGTACAGCCTAGCCTAGTCCCGCCCATGTGCCAGCAGCAGTTCTCACAGGAAAAAGCCTTTCAGGCGCCTCAAAAGTCATCACCCTGCCACTCTCTCCCCGCCCTCTTGCTCCTCCCTGCTCCCTCCCCCCCTGCCCCTCCACCCCCCCGCCCACCCCATCTCAGGGCAAGCATCTCGGCTGATCCGCAAGTACAGCCTAGTGCCACCCATGTGCCAGCAGTTCTCCCTGGGGGACATGGAGCAGGCCACCAACAACTGGGCCGAGGCCAACCTGCTGGGGTCGGGGGGCTTTGGAGACGTCTTCAAGGGCGTGTCGCCCCTCGATGGCACCACGCTGTGGGCTGTCAAGCGCGCCAAGCTTCTCACCAATGACTTTGACCGCGAGGTGTGCATTTGCTGTAATCTGCAATTCTCCCTCCTCCCTCTTCTCCCCCCTCCCCCCCCCCGCGCCACCCTCTCCCGGTTGTGTTCTGTTTTTTGCTTCTTGATGTTGGTCTTCTTCGTTTTACTTGGTTCGCGTGCCTGTTCGTTAATCTTATGTGTCCTTCCTTTTCCGAACCTTGTTGCTTCCTTCCCCTCCCACAGTCCATCTCCTATATTTGCTCTATGCCCCCCCTCTCCCTCTGCACTGCTACCTCATCCCTCCTTACTTCTCACCCCACCCTTCCCCACCCACCAGGTGACTCAGATGGCCACAAAGCACCATCCCAACCTGGTGCGGCTGCTGGGGTTCTGCATAGACGTGGAGCCAGAGACAGCGCACGTGGAGCAGATCCTCGTCTACGAGTTCGTGCCCAACGGGGACCTCGAGAAGAGGATGGCGCCAGGTGCAGACATACACCGCTCTTAACCGCTCTCAGTCGCCTCTTTTCCATATTCCTTTCTTCTAGGAGTTGATCTCTCACGTGCTTTCGCGATCTCTTTCTCCTTCCGTCTTCCTCCCATTGCTTCCTCGAGACCTTTGCGGCTCTCCCCCCTGCGCGGCCTCTTGCCGTCCTGCTCTCATCCTCGAGCATCGCAGCGTCTGCTTGCATTGCTCATTGTGCTTTCATGCCCACTGCTTTTCATCGCGCTTTGTACCGCGTTGCTCTGCAGACGCGGCCACGCCTCTGACCCTGCAGCAGCGGCTGGAGGTTCTCTTGGGAGCGGCTCACGGGTTGGAGTATCTACACAGCTTCAACATGGTTCATCGCGACATCAAGCCCGCCAACATCCTGCTCGACGCAAATATGCAGGTAGGTACCTCGAATCGAAGCAGCTCTACCTCTCATCCTCACGTTCCTCGCATGTCACGGCAATGCGGTCTTGAGCCACGCTGATACTATATTCAAACTGGTGAAATCAATCGAACCGAACCTTGTCGGACCATATTCGTTCTGACAAACCTCCCTCCCTACCTCGTATGATCGTGTGCGTGCCGCATGGTCACAGCCCAAGATTGCAGACTCTGGCTTGCTGCGCGTGGGAGAAGGCACCACTGTGCAAGCCACACGAGTGATGGGCACGCCGGGCTATGTGGACCCGGCTTATGCTCGCACACAGAAGGCAACTCCTGCCACTGATGTGTACAGGTGCTGATGTGTACAGGTGCTGATGTGTACAGGTGCTGATGTGTACAGGTGCTGATGTGTACAGGTGCTGATGTGTACAGGTGCTGATGTGAACAGGTGCTGATGTGAACAGGTGCTGATGTGTACAGATGCTGACGTGTACTGGTGCTCATCTGTACAGGTGCTGATGTGTGCAGGTGCTGATGTATACAGGTGCTGATGTGTGCAGGGTGCTGATGTGAACACGTTCTGATGTGTGCAGATGCCGATGTGTAGTGGTTCACACAAACTTCTCATTCCTGTCTTTTTGAAGTGCATCAGCAGCATTTTCTACCTCGCATTATGTTGCAACAAGTCTTCGAGCTTAACCCGGAGTCCCCTTGACGCAGGCTGTGTGGCTGTGTGATTGTTGAAACGAGAAGTCCCAATGCTCGAATCACGACATTTGCATCCATATATGAAGCTGCGTCGCCTCTCGTTAAACCATGATACCTGAATCTCTCGGTTCGTTCTCTGCATGCAGCTTTGGAGTGCTCATGTTGATGGTGACAACGGGCCGTGACGTCACATTCTATGACAAGGGCAAGTCTGTGAACATCGCCCAATGGGTGAGTGGATGCATGAGCATCTGCTACTTTCCTGTACTTGTGTTTCTCTTCCTCGTTTCGACATCTACGCTTAATGTAGGTCATTGACGTGCTAATTTCTGCGGTGTATGCTTTTCATGCAAGGCACACTGTTGCAGAATCAGCTGGCCCATCAATCATAGCATTTCTTCCACGCCGCAAGCATCGTAATTTTTGTTTGCGTCTACCATTCTCCCCCCTGATTCAACTCGATCCACCTGGTCATCCAACCACCTCCAATACCCTCTCATCATCCCTTCCTGTCGTCACTCTCCCAATTGCATCCCGTTCCACTCCACTTACCGGACCATCCAGGTGAAAGAGCAGATAGGGAGAAACGAGGTAGCGGTTCTGAAGGACCCTCGCATGGATGCTTCAGAGGAGATTATCATGCGCATCACACAGCTGGCTGTCCGCTGCACTGCGAAGCGCACGGCAAACAGGCCCAGCATGACTGACATTGCCACCGAGCTGCAGACCATTTTGGTTGCATTGGGCGGCCCAACGTCGAGAGTGTTCCGGGCGGCGGAGCAGGTGGATGCGCAGCTTGACGGTGCCAACTCCAATAGGATGGACCTGGATGAGGCCTTTTCGATGATTGACAGCATGAATGAGCATGCGCGGGAGATGAAGTCCGAGGATGTGTAATTTGGATTGGATGTAGATGACTCACTGTGGTATACAAAGTCCTTCAAGAGTGTTTTGCTCAGCATTTTTGCCACTGTTGCCTAGATTCGTGAGTGAGTGATCATTCTTAGTTTTACCATTACAGGCAGAACCTGTTCAGCAGTCAAAAGGATTTACGTCTGCTGTATTGCATTGTTCTGAACGGGTATTCAGTGGAAAGGTGTGCATCTGTTGTGACATAGCAGGAAAATGAAGAGGTTATTAGTGGAGCATTTTGCTTGGCGCGAACTGAACTGAATTGATTGGGCGAATCGCAGCGCAGGTGCGGATTTCGGTGTGCTGGAGGCGAGTCAGCGTGCCACTAACGATAACTGTACACTCACACCTGGTTGACATGACGAAGTGCCTAACGCCCACAGAGAGTGCGCTGTGCCTATAACGGAATGACATCGTATTCGCAGATACACTGTTGACTGTAGCGTTTGGTCGGATGGTTTGGTGGTTCGTTGGTACACGAAGTTACGATTTCTTGCAAATTTGCTGCCGAGAGAACAACATCGGTGTCGCATCGCACTGTCACCAACCTCCAAGCATTTCCCAAGGTCACCAAACACAGAACCAACCACTCCCCCATTACTTTTCTCCCCTCCACCACTACAACAACCACATACTGGCCACATTTTATCACTTTCCTGCATCCGTCTCACAAGAAAGTTAGCATAGGCGTAGCCGAAACGGACAAACTTCATCGTCGCAAGGCAGCATGGTGTCCGCCGCAGCAGCCGCGCGGCTACGAGTCCTGACGTCGCAACCAGGCAACAAGGTCTGCGTTGACTGCAGTCAGCGCAACCCGCAATGGGCCTCCGTCTCCTACGGCATCTTCATGTGCCTCGAGTGCTCCGGTCGGCACCGCGGGCTGGGAGTGCACCTGAGTTTCGTGCGATCCGTCACCATGGATTCCTGGTCCGAGATCCAGCTGCGAAAAATGGAGGTCGGCGGTAATGACGCGCTGAATTATTTCTTCGCGCACAACGGCGTGCCTAAGGACACCGACATCTCGATTAAGTACAGCTCGCCCGTCGCCGAAGCGTATCGCGGGAAGATCCAGGCGGCGGCGGAGGGAACAGGCCCGCCGCCTAACGCGAACATCGCGGGCGCATCACCCGCTCGCGCTCCCCCTCCTGCTGCTGCTTCTGCAGGAGCTGGGGGGGCGTCGTCAGCAGGCGGGTTCGGATCAAACGACAGCTGGGCAAACTGGGGGGATGGCGAGAGCGGCGGAGTCGGATCCGCGCATTCCAGCCCCGCGAACGCGCACACGACAGCGGCGGCCCAGGGGAACATGCGCAGGCACCAGTCGGAAAACAGCATGTATGGATCTGCCGGGGGGGGCGGCGCAGGGGCGCAGTGGGAGGGCGGAAGAGGCGGGGAGACCAGGCCCGGCGGCGGAGGTGGAGGGGGGAGTAAGCGGGGAGGAGCGATGGGGCAGCATACAGGGTCAGCATCGGACGTGTATTCTAAAGAGCAGCTGGAGGCGTCGGCGGCGGACAAGGACAATTTCTTTGCGCGCAAGCTGGCGGAGAATTCGCGGCGGCCTGACGGGGTTCCGCCGAGCCAGGGCGGCAAGTACGTGGGATTCGGGAGCACGCCGAGTCGCGCGCCGAGCAAGCCGAGCGCAGGAGACGACGTGCTTGAGGACTCGATCAAGGCGGTCTCGGAGGTGAGTGATTGCTTGGGAAAGGGTAGCGTGGTGGGCACTGTTTTTTGAACGAGTTCCGAGTGTTAAGCCGAGCGCGGGAGACGACGTGGTGGAGGACTCGATCAAGGCGGTCTCGGAGGTGAGTGATCAAAGTAAGCGGGGACGGGGAGCGGGGCGGAAACCAAAAGTAAGCGGGAAGAAATCAAGGATGGGAGTTAAATTAAAGCGTGTGGAATAGTATGTCTCAGGAGTGTGGGAGTCAGTTTCAAAGTAGCAAGTATGGCTCTGCGGGATGGTCGGAGGTTGGAATGGTGAGAAGATGTGGGCGTGGGTGGCTGTTGTTGTTAGGCCAGAATGGTGTGGCATGGGGCTGCATGGGCCGGGGCAGCATGGGGTGGCATGGGGCTGCATGTGCTTTCCTTGGGAAAGCATAGGGGGCATGCGGTGCAAGACTAGACCATGTTGCTGTCACGTGTGAGCAGCGAGAGGATGGAAGTGAGCAGCCGGTTGATGGTGCAGGGGTTCGAGTTGCCACCTACTTAAAACCCAGGGTCCACAGGTTTCAAAGGTAGGAAGGTTGGTTGGACTTAGTCACAAAACCAAAAATAGGAAGCTTGGTTGGACTTTGTGACCCAACCAAAGGTAGGAAGGATGAGGCAACTACGGGAACCTTGAGACTCCGGTTTTAAACACACAAACAGATCCAGCGAAAGTAAGCTATAACCACCTGATTCTCCTTTGCACAAGGTAGCCTGCTGGAATGTACACCGATGGTGCCTGGAGCCCCTGTTGTGTACGAAGAAAAAGCAATGCGCGCGCCCCAAAAAACAAAGAGCAATGCCACACTGGTGCCTGTAGCTTGGTCTCTCGCATCTCAAAAGTACAGCAACACCAACCCGTTTTACACCCAACGTCTTCCACTTCGCTCCCCCTTGTTCCGTGCCGCTTCCAAACCCACTCTACCTGCCCACCGTCCTACCAGGGCTTCCGATCCATCTCCATGGTTGCCATTGGCGCAGCCAGCTCTGCAGCGGCTGTGGTGCAAGAAAAGGTACGGCGCGATGTTGCTAGTAGGGTGGTCTGGTGGGGGAAGAGGGGGGAGGGGGCTTTCAGAGTATGCACGAGGATTTGATTGTGGCGCAAATCCTATTCCAACAAGTTGTTCAAACCACCTCTCCCCCACACGACCTCACCCATGACCCCGTACACCCCTCTGCGTAATCATCCCGTCCTCGCGACCTCCGCCTGCATGCGTGCACCCCCACCATCAGATGCGCGAGGGCGGGTACGACCAGAAGGCCAAGGAGACGGCCACAGTGGTAGCAAGCCGCACTGCGGAGCTAAGCCAGAAGGCATGGGGCTTCATGCGCTCTGTCACTGAGAAGGCTGTGGAGGCTGTGGAAGGCGGGTTAGGAGGTGGCCTTGGGGGCCCAGGCATTGGCGGCGGTGGAGGGTTTGGGGGAATGGGCAGCAGCAGGGGCATGGGTGGTGGTGGCAGGGGCGGTGGTGGCAGTTTTGGTAAACCGTACACATATGGTAGTGATGGGAGTGATAGTGCTGGTGGTGGGCGAGGAGGGGGAGGGGGGGGGGGGCGGATATGATGCCGATGTGTACACCTACAGTGCAAGCAGCAGCAACGGGTATGGCGGCTCTGAGTCAACTCAAGAGAAGAAACCGAGTGAAGGTATTAGTAGTGGTGGTAGCAAGGGGTTTGCCAAGTTTGATGACAGTGCTCTGAAAGGCGGTGAGGGCTTTGGTGACTGGGATGACTGGAAAGATGATGGTGGTGACAATGATATAAGTGGAGGAGGTAAAGGAGGACACAGGGAAAGTGGGTCATCAGCACCAAAGCCTGCTGCAGTTCCTGTGAAGAAATTCTCCATCTCTGCTGCAGCCCCTGCGCCTGCCGCTATACCAGTATCAGGGCTTGTGCCCCCACCTGTGAAACCACCTGGCGCTGCAGCCCCCTCTGCTGCATACGCAAAGCCCTCCCAATCTTCCTTCGAGGCCTCGCTGATTTCCTTTGACGATGGACCGTCAGCTCCTTCAGCGGCACACATGGCTCCTATGTCTTCTGCGGTGGACCCCTTAGCAGCTCTCATGGGAGGCAGCGCTCCTGGTACGGGCATGGGCAGTGGGTTTGGAGCATCTGGATCAGCTGCAGGTGGCGGTGCGGCGTGGAATGGATTTGATGCCTTTTCCACATGTCCCCCTGCTGCTGCCGATCCTTGGCAGGGGGCTGGATTCCAGTCCGCCCCTCCTGCTGGAGTCTCGGCTTCAAAGCCGGCACAAGATGATGACTTTGAGTGGGGTGGGTTCCATTAAGTGTCTGATGTTTACATGTTTGTATAGTAGTGTGTCATTGTGTTGGCTAGGAAGTCACAGCACTAGTCTTCTTACATTGGATAGCAGAATCAACAGTAAATTGGCTTCTGAACTAAATTAGCAGGGTGTTTTGCACATCCAAGCGGGTCTTACAACTGACAATTACTGTTGGAAACAATCGATCTTAAAGCCGGCGGCCCAAATTGTTCATGCTTTTAAAACCGGGGTGCACATTCAGCTGAATGTGCATCAAAGGTTATCCCTTGACTGAGTGGGTTACGAGGTGTGCTTTCAACCCCTTCAAGTCGAAATTCGTTTCCCCCCTCCCCCGCAATTTCGTTTCCCCACGCCCCCGCAATTTCATTTCCCCCTCCCCGTCGAAATTCGTTTCCCCCCTCCCCCGCAATTTTGTTTCCCCCCTCCCCTGCAATTTCGTTTCCCCCCCCTCCCGCCAATCTGTTTCATCCCTCCCGCCATTCGGTTTCACCCACTCCCGCCATTTCACCCCCTCCCGCCACCTACGAAATGCCCGAAGCTCTAGCGGAATCATTTTTTTGTCGCCCCTCGTGAGCCAATCACTGTTTTTCTCCAAACCCCCTTCCCAACATCTCAAGCCGAACCGCGTTGAATGTGCACCCTGGTTTTAAAAGTTGACCAGAGGGAGTTTTTCTGGTGTAGGCTTTGGCGAGAGTTCGCAATTTCGTCTAGGTTCGTTTTTTTCGCGAGACCCAGCCAACCCTCGGTTTTCCCCCTGGTGAGTGAATCTGTCTTCGAAAGTCCCAAATTGCAGGTGCGTGACTTTCAAAAGCTTGGACACTCAACTTCGTCAAGTTTTAAAAACTTGACCCTCGCGGTCCGCAATTTGGGACGCGGGCTTTAAGTGCCTCTGTCGTGTCGAAACACTAAGGCATAAACGAAGCGAAGCATGTCGAAGCACCGGCGAGTCAACCCTCGGAGGTTGAAAGTAACTGTTGGAGGTTACGCGAAAGTCAAAAGTCAGCGACCTTTGACCTGACAAAGTACAGCGCGACAGCAAGGACACACAACTGACTCGCTACAGAGCAGTTGCCCGAGTCGTCACTGTATCGAACCGCAACAGCAACAGCAAAACAGTTATAACTGTACCTCTTCATATTCCTTGTACTCTTATATATATTCTTGTATCTCTTTGTTTTAATCAATCTACTTTGCCCTCACATACTAGCGCAAGGTGGTTCAACTACTTCATTAAAGCTTCCGCTATTACATCAGTCCTACCCAGAGTTCACCCCTGCAAAGATCCTAAGGCCTATTTCTCAGCCCAACATGGTATGAGAGCAGTCAGGGAGAATTCAACTATTAAGATACCGACAACATCAACAGGCATGGCTACACAAAAGGAAAGGAGCTCCTCCAACGGCTCCCAGGGCACTACTCCTACTCCACCTCCTGCCCCTGGCCTACAGACAGAGGAGGGTACGGCAACAAGACCCAGGGCAACATCCACCGAGACTCCTACAAATCAACCTGCAGACTTCGACCAGAGCATGATGGAGAAATTCTTCTCCTTCATGTCCTTCTACGAGCAACACCAGCAATCGGCACCTGCGCAGTCACACAATAGCAACAACAACGGAGCAACTCCCATGAGTCTCGACGGCTCATCATACGCACGAGGAAATCAACAGCAGCAGCCTACCTTTGCTCCGTACGAGCGCGGGTCCATCAGCTTTATGCCACACCCGCAGTCTTCACCTGGACAAGAAAAGTCACTGGACGCATTACAAGTTCAGTCGCAGCTCGCGCACGTTCTGAAGATGCAGACGTCAAGACCTTTCGATGGAAAGGATTTCTTCACCTGGTCGTTTGAATTTGAGTTAATGATGGAAGGCGCGCAGATACTTGGCTTCTTCGACGGGTCCCTGCCATACCCAACGAACGACACACAGTATGAGAAGCAGCAGTACACCTATCAGTCGATGATGGCGTACACGATTCTACTGAGAAACATCACCCCGACTCAACAGCAGAATATACGGTCTTACCGGGGTTACGGCAACTCCGCGGAGCTCGCATACAACCACTTGAAGAGCCTGTATCAAGCAACAGACAGCGTAAATCAAAGTCGGTTAATGGCGCAACTGACAACGGTCGAAATGAAACCAGGCGAGAAAGGAATGGCGTATATCAGCCGATGTCGCGAGTTGCGCGACAAGCTTCTTCGATGCGGAGGGTCGATTTCTGAAGACGCCTTCATGACAGTTATCATTGGCGGCCTTGGTCCTCAATGGCGCGCCACAAAGGCCATTCTCCGAGCCCACGGAAGAATCTCCGAAGCAGCACTCTGCGCTGAAATCCATGCCGAGCAATAAGACATGGACCTGCAAGAAGAACGACACAAGAAGAAGACATCAGCACCGGAATTTGCATTTCACACTCAGCGACGCTACAACAACAACAGCGCGTAACTCCGTTCTGCCACATCTGCAAGACGTCAGGGCACCCGCGCACGCACTGCCCGAATCGACAACAGTCAACGCCTTCACAGCGGCAGCTTCGACCTTCAAGCAATCAAGTCGCCTCAACACAAGCAAATCCTACGACCCATATTAAAGCCTCAACGACCTCAACAGGACAACCTGCACAAGGAGGAAGGAACATCGTCAGTTGCATGGCAAGACTGAGCGACTCTTGCATCACGGGATCACCACCGTACTACTCACCGGAAGAACAACTCGACGACACAACACCTCACAGCGATTCACTCCAGCCGAATTTGACATACGCAGCCATCGCCCAAAGCGAGCCATCCGGAAAGGAGACGTGGTTCTTGGACAGTTGCTGCGGACAACGCATGTGCTCTTCAGGACGCTTCGTGCAACGAGAGTACCAACTCCAACGTGAAGTAGTCATCACCGTCGCCAACAACGAAAGCCTGCGCACACGACGACAAGGAATCGTTCAACTTCAGTCACGAGAGACAAACGTCATACTACAAATGTCCAAGGTCTTAATCGCAGAAGGCCTTGTCAGAATCACGAGGAAAAGTTTAGAAGCAGAAAGAGAGATTGCACTAGCAAGCAGTTGAGTACATATAGGAAACCCTAGATTGGGCTGTACTCGCTATAGAGTACCCCACTGCAGGTTAGACAAATACAACATTCTGACACACCCCCATAGCCAAAGTGGGGTGTAATCAGCAGAGCACGCAGTCATAGAGCAGGTTCACAAATGCAAGCAAAGCTAGAGGCTATCACAGAGGGCAAGTGAGGAGGAGGAGAGACTGTGGGGACGAGAAGATGGAAGGCGACTGCTGAAGCTGCAGACACACAGAAGCTGCTGGCTCAGTGGCTACCGAAGCAAAGGCCCGGACTACAGGAGTAACTGGCTCCGCGGAGATTGTAGCCTCCTGACTGGAGCAACTGACCCACAGGCGACTGGCGACTACCGGAGATTGTAGCCTCCGGACTACTGGCGCTGCTGACGACACGTCAGTTGCCTCCACTCAACCCCCCCCCCAGCTGCCCCACGCCCCTATCACACACCCCCTGCTGCACCCCTAGCTCCACTCCCACGACACCCCCCTAGCTCCACTCCTTCGGCTCCCACACACCCACCCCCCTGAGCGGCAGCTGCAGCAGCGGGAGACGGAGGAGGAGGAGGAGTAGGGGACGGCGCACACAACCGGCACCCCACAACCGCCACCCCCACACTCCCCACCCCCAAACCCTAAAACGGGTGGCAGGGGGTAGGAGTGCGGGGGACGGCTAGGGGGACGGCGCGCGGCCCCCAGAGCGCCACCACGGGGCAGCGAGGGGCCGCGCGCGGCTCCCCAGGGCGCCGCGACGAGGTAGCGGGGGGTCGCGCGCGGCTCCCAGGGCTCCGCGACAGGACGGCAGGGGCTGCGCGCGACACCAGAGCGCCGCGACGTGACGGCAGGGGCCGCGCGCGCCTTGCCCGGGCGCCGCGACAGGACGGCAGGGGCCGCGCGCGACACCCTAGGGCGTCGCAACGGACAGGCGGGGGGCGCGCGCGGCTCCCTAGGGCGCCGCGACGAAACAGCGGGGGCGGCGCGCCAGGAAGGAAAGGGGCCGTGCGCCCCGGGGCGCGCGCCGGCGCGCGGCGGGATGAAAAATAGGTCGCACGCCACGGGGCGTGTGACAGATCAAGTAGCAGCGGAAGCAGGTTGGTGGGCCCACAGGCCAAGGAAGGACACGCTCTGATAGCATGTCAGAATCACGAGGAAAAGTTTAGAAGCAGAAAGAGAGATTGCACTAGCAAGCAGTTGAGTACATATAGGAAACCCTAGATTGGGCTGTACTCGCTATAGAGTACCCCACTGCAGGCTAGACAAATACAACATTCTGACAGGCCTCGGCTACAACTTACTCAGCGTTAGCCAACTAATGGCTAAAGGTATCCACCTTGAAGCAGACAGCACCACTCAGGAGTTCAAGCTGTACCACGGGAAGGGCGGTCTGTACATCGGAAAGGCGATCCTGAAAAATAACGTCTTCGTTCTTGATTTTGTTCCAGATCTCGGTACAACAGACAGCGACGGCATCGTCACCTTCACTTCCTGGACCCACCCTCCAGACCTTGATTCAAACTTCAGCCCCGGCGGCTTCTGGCCATCCCTGAGGCAGAAAGAACAAGGGCGTTAGCAACAATTCAAACAACATCGGCAGCAGCAGAGACAACATCGGCAGCAGCAGAAACAACATCGGCAGCAGCAGAGACATCAACGGCAGCAGCAGGAACGTCAACGCCAGTCGCTGGTCCTTCAACGGCACCACTCCTCGTCGATGACACACCACCGACACCCGCGCAACAACTACACCCAGCACCACGAGAAGTTCATCGAAGCGCCAACTTCACGGCCAGCTTCTATTCCAACTCCGATATGTATCGGCGCTCACCCGGACATCGCGCCACCGAAGGAACCTGGCACGCAAGAATGGGACACCCAAGCAACACGGTGTTAAACAACACGATAAGAGCAGGCGTGCTCGATAAAGACT